TACAACCGCCGCCTCTACACCATCAACATAAATACAAGTGCTACAACCGCCGCCACTACACCATCAACACAATTACAAGTGCTACAACCGCCGCCACTACACCATCAACACAATTACAACTGCTACAACCGCCGCCTCTACACCATCAACATAAATACAAGTGCTACAACCGCCGCCTCTACACCATCAAAATAAATACAAGTGCTACAACCGCCGCCTCTACACCATCAACATAAATACAAGTGCTACAACCGCCGCCTCTACACCATCAACATAAATACAAGTGCTACAACCGCCGCCTCTACACCATCAACATAAATACAAGTGCTACAACCGCCGCCTCTACACCATCAACATAAATACAAGTGCTACAACCGCCGCCTCTACACCATCAACATAAATACAAGTGCTACAACCGGCGCAACTACACCATCACCACAAATACAACTGCTACAACCGCCGCCACTACACCATCAACACACATACAGCAGCCACGTGTACCTCGACTGCTACATCTACCGCCACTACAACATCAACGCAAATGCAACTTCCACGTGTACGTCGACTGCTACAACCAGCATCACTACAGCATCTATACAAATAAATATCCTAGTTGCACCTCGACTTGTACAACCTCCACCATCACTACAACATCAACACAAATACAACAGCCACGGTTTCTTCGACTGCTACAACTACCACCACTACAATATCTACACAAATACAACTGCCACGTGTACCTCGACTGCTACAACCACCACCACTACAACATCTACACAAATACAACTGCCACGTCTACCTCGACTGCTGCAACCACCACCACTACAACATCTACACAAATACAACTGCCACGTCTACCTCAACTGCTACAACCACCACCACTACAACATCTACACAAATACAACTGCCACGTCTACCTCGACTGCTACAACCACCACCACTACAACATCTACACAAATACAACAGCCACGTCTACCTCGACTGCTACAACCACCACCACTACAACATCTACACAAATACAACAGCCACGTCTACCTCGACTGCTACAACCACCACCACTACAACATGAACCCAAATACAACTGCCACGTCTACCTCGACTGCTACAACTACCACCACTACATTATCTACACAAATACAACAGCCACGTTTTCTTCGACTGCCTCAACTACCACCACTGCATTATCTACACAAATACAACTGCCACGTCTACCTCGACTGCTACAACTACCACCACTACAACATCTACACAAATACAACTGCCACGTCTACCTCGACTGCTACAACTACCACCACTACACCATCATCACAAATACAACAGCCACGTCTACCTCGACTGCTGCAACTACCACCACTACAACATGAACACAAATACAACTGCCACGTCTACCTCGACTGCTGCAACCACCACCACTACAACATCTACACAAATACAACAGCCACGTCTACCTCGACTGCTACAACCACCACCACTACAACATCTACACAAATACAACTGCCACGTCTACCTCGACTGCTACAACCACCACCACTACAACATCTACACAAATACAACAGCCACGTCTACCTCGACTGCTACAACCACCACCACTACAACATCTACACAAATACAACTGCCACGTCTACCTCGACTGCTACAACCACCACCACTACAACATCTACACAAATACAACAGCCACGTCTACCTCGACTGCTACAACCACCACCACTACAACATCTACACAAATACAACAGCCACGTCTACCTCGACTGCTACAACCACCACCACTACAACATGAACACAAATACAACTGCCACGTCTACCTCGACTGCTACAACCACCACCACTACAACATGAACCCAAATACAACTGCCACGTCTACCTCGACTGCTGCAACTACCACCACTACAATATCAACACAAATACAACAGCCACGTCTACCTCCACTGCTACAACTACCACCACTACAACATCAACACAAATACAACTGCCACGTCTACCTCGACTGCTACAACTACCACCACTACACCATCATCACAAATACAACAGCCACGTCTACCTCGACTGCTGCAACTACCACCACTACAACATGAACACAAATACAACTGCCACGTCTGCTACAACCACCACCACTACAACATCTACACAAATACAACAGCCACGTCTACCTCGACTGCTACAACCACCACCACTACAACATCTACACAAATACAACAGCCACGTCTACCTCGACTGCTACAACCACCACCACTACAACATGAACCCAAATACAACTGCCACGTCTACCTCGACTGCTACAACTACCACCACTACAATATCAACACAAATACAACAGCCACGTCTACCTCCACTGCTACAACTACCACCACTACAACATCAACACAAATACAACTGCCACGTCTACCTCGACTGCTACAACTACCACCACTACACCATCATCACAAATACAACAGCCACGTCTACCTCGACTGCTGCAACTACCACCACTACAACATGAACACAAATACAACTGCCACGTCTGCTACAACCACCACCACTACAACATCTACACAAATACAACAGCCACGTCTACCTCGACTGCTACAACCACCACCACTACAACATGAACACAAATACAACTGCCACGTCTACCTCGACTG